GTGTGTTCCTGTACAGGATGTGCACTTATCTTCAAAATCAGCAAAACAATTTAACCAAGAGCACCCCAACTTTCGTAAAAGACAGTATATACTGTGGCAGTGGAGAGATGGAGTCACTCCCTGCACAGGTTCAAGCTGCTCCTCTCCCTTGATTTAGCACAGCTGTGCCTAATGAGGAGAGGTGCATGGACATCTTTTAAAACGAGCTCTCACTGGTGAGTAGAGAGAGGACGCTGGGCTACGCCAGAGAGAGCGAGAGGAGAAGGGATTCTTGAAAAGCCGACGCTAAGTAAGCCATCGTGGATTTAAGTTTCGGTTTTGTTTTGTTTAATTATGTAAATAAAGCACGTTTGGGCACTCGAGCTGGTGTTTGTGTGTGTGTGTCTCTGAGGTTGTTGGGCCTCCCGGTCAGTGGTGTCGGCCCCTCCCCCAGCCAAGCCACAACATAAAGACCCAAGATTTACCCACATTTTTGGTAATAGGGCAATAATAAAATTAGATTTACTAATAAATTGTATCATTATTATTATTATCATTATAATTATACACAATGCACAATTAAACATATTATTTTAAAATATTATGATTACTTATTGTCAATTCTTAAGCACATTCCGGTTAAGCCACCATTCAGACTCTAACACTGGCTGCATTATCTCTCCATCAAGCAGTGTGGCACTAAAATAACTGAAGGGGAAGTAACAAGTTGAGCCCTTTTAACACTGCAGTTTTGCAGTTTGCATTAAGGACTGTAGTCTGGTCTTTTCTACATCTGTGCAGCAGTTTCCGCGAAGGACACTACGGCAACATATATGACCAGTGTGTGGACAAAATGCTGAAAAGACAGCAACAAGACAGTTCTCCACTGGACAGCAATACAGACCTACAGACCCACAGTGACTCCACATTTACCTTCTGGTGCCTCAGGCGTCAGAACTGCAGCTCCATTTAAGGTAGAACAGGAAAATTCTAACAAGAAGCTGGTGAATATCTGACTTCAGCTTCATATCACTGAAGAATTAGGGGTGGGCGATAAATAAATAATTGCCCCCCTCTCTGAAGGCATATGATGCCCTAAATGTAACTAAAGCCCAGCAGTGAGGAGCTGAACTTTACTCTCCTCTGCTGTCACTGCAGACTGGCAGGGTCGCCTACAGAGCAGCTCTAGTAGCCTCTTAATGACATGATGCTCTTCTTTATTTTAAGGTTGGCCCATATACAGGGTAAGATTTCAACCACTACCCCTTGTAACACAAAAAACAAGGGGCAGAGGGTAAAAATAAGAAATGAGATTCGGCCTTATTGTAATCAAAAGCATAACACTGTTTTGAAAAGTGTGAAGGGACAATGGTGAAGAACAGGATAGAACACGAAACATGAACATGTAAAATCCCCCCTGCTGCCCTGTTTTTAAACCCCACCCTTCGCCCACTACCTTGCAGACTGTCTCTGTACTACGAACTGAACAGGTTAAGAAGCTGAGCAGAAACAAAAATAAGCTCCCACTGTAACATCAATAATAAGAGAGATTCTGTGTTTGGCACTTCAGCACCAGTCACTCGATTTGACTCGCTCAGATTTGAGTATTCATGCTCTAAACTTGCCTCAGGGCAGCGTCAGTGAGCTGGCAGTGCTTGCGGTTTAGCCCTCTCGCTAAGCTAGTGTTAAACTCTGGTGCTACAAGGATATAAATTAAAAGTAGCTTCAGCTCAGATTGAGTCTTTATTCTCTAAACCTGCGTCACTGAGAATCCCAGGCAGAAATATTTCATACCGACAAACTTGGGACGATACACAACCACAATAGGTACAAATGTAAGACGCCATCGTAAACAAATGTATAAATAGCCTGACTGAAGTTTAATCCTTCCTTCACCTCGCTAGTGAATGATAGCATAACTTCATGTTAAATTGAAGAAACTTGAACATGAAGGGGTTTCAAGCCGCATTTGTGTCAGGAATGTCATTAATAAGTCTAACATATTTAATAAGTTACATATTTAACTAGTTCACAATTGATTCAGTATTGGGTCAGAGGGCTTTATAGACTAAACTGGGGACATCACACTGGGGCTCACCTCAGTTCTTTGCTCAGGTTTCATGTCTGATGAGGTTATAATGAACATACAATCATATTTTCCCACTCAATCAAATTAAAATGTAGCTCACACAAGGCCTTTAGACTTAAAATTAGTGATGAGTCAGCTGAGATATAACTGCTTAAGTCATAGAAATGACTACTGCTCATTACTAGTAGGTCAGGATCTTCTACATGGTTCCCCTGTGCAGCTTTGTCCATCTTGGACTGAACCCTAAAAGGCTGTTTTGTATTTTTACAGTCTACTGTCACTCCATCAATCACTGATGATTGATCATCTTCACCAAATTCAGTCTTGGTCTTCAATGCTGTCCACCAGTAACATCACAAATTTCTATAGAAAATTGTGGCTTTTCCATCAAGTTCAATTATCAACTTTAAAGCCAAATAACTTTGTTTCACATTTGCATCTTTTCAGCGGCAAAAATGATAGGAAATCTTCAGGGAGATCCATGAGCTGCTTTGGCTATATTTGACTGCAGTTACCTAAAACAGTTATAATTAGTGTTTTGTTTTTTGTTTCAGGCCGGCGCTTCAGCCAAATGAAGGCCAAAATACAGAAACCTCTTAAGTCTGAAATCTTATCTGCTTAGTCACCATGAAAACCTCAGTTAGGACAGAATTTAGGACAGAAGCTACTACAGAACAACGGTTCTTAACTTCATAATCTTATCATTAACTCCAGATAAGAAAAGAGTATCACACAAACATCCTAACTAGACTTAATCTCCTAAATACGGTCCGAACTTTAGGATAAACCCCAACAGTGTCCTAACTTCTGCTTCTATTGTTTTATGCTGTGTCAGGCAGCAAAGTTCACTATAACCAGCATAATGATGTTGTATTTATCTACACTGAAAACGGTTCTCTGACATGTGGTTTTTTTTTCTAACAGCATTTTAAAAATGCAGACTGCAGACTCGATTTCCACCGTCCCTCTTATTACCTTTGTGTGTTAATGTTGATGATGAAATACCGTGGTGGTGAATAATGAGGAGACAGAGCTGAACATGTGTCTGTTTATTAGGAGGAATAAAGTTAGGGCGCTTGGCTAAAGTGTTTGGGAAATGGAGACAAACTGTGAAGCGGCCACGCTTTGATAAACAGCACGAAGCGCTGACACAACATTCTTAACTCTCAGTTTATCATGCTTTAGATTTGTTTGACATTTTGTACATTAGTAATGGTAGTTAGCTGCCTGGCTAACTAGCTTGATTACATTACATGTTTATGTTTCAGCTGTGTGCGTATGGTCGGTTGTTAAATAACAGACATACGACAGTTGATCGTCCACTTCGATCGAGTAAGTTAAGATTTCTTAACCTGAGATAAGACGATGTAAGATAAGATTCTCAAATTAAGATAAGATTCACTTCTGTAATATGAATTTGTGAAAAATCTTTTCTTGACCTGTCAGATTTTAAATTGAGACAAAGAGACAGGAAGTTTCTGTAATATGACCTCAGGACTTCCAGGCTACAGAAAAGCTTCTTCCCACAAGCCATCATTCTCTTGAACAGTTAATAATTACACATGCACAATTATTCCAGCTGCACCTCTTATATATATTGGTCTATAGTATATATGGTATATAGTAACACTCAACATTCCATCCTCTGTAACTACAGTCTCAGACCAGCGTTTTCTGCACCTCACTTACATGACTTATTACCAGCCTTATTACCTCACTTACCTGCCTTATTACCAGCCTTATTACCTCACTTACCTGCCTTATTACCAGCCTCATTACCTCACTTACCTGACTTGTTACCTCACTAATCCCTTTTTAGCCACTATACATCCTTTAACTGCTGCTGCACTCAGCACTTTCCACAATGCACAATGTAAGGTTTACAGGTATGACTGTGTGTGTAGGTGTGTGTGGTAGGAATGTATGTTTTATTTTATTTTATTTACTACTGTAAAATCTGATTCTGTGCACTGTGAGCTCCTGTAACTAAAACCACATTCCTTGTATGTGTAAACATACCTGGCCAATAAAGCTTGATTCCGATTCTGATACGAAGAGCAGCAGGCAGTAAATTCTCATCAGCCTGTAGAAAAGTAAGGAAAGATTAGTGTGTGGTATTTTGTCTGATCCATTGCATGAACTATATGGTGAATATATAATATTTTGCCTTCAAATAGACGTTTTAGGGAACCGAAGTCGAGACTTAACAGGTTTAGAAACTCCTTCATGCCTCAGTCAACTGTGATACCTAACCAAATGAGTGAACCGCTTAGATGAGTGCTTAAGTAGTAAAGGGTTGTAGGGTGTATAGTGGAATCTGGTGATGGTATAAAGTGTGTTGTTTTGGTTTATTGTAATGTTTGTGTTTGTCTGATTGTTTGTGAAAGTCATCTTTCCCTTGTTCTTTGTAAATCGTAAAGTTCTGCCATTTTTTGTGTTGCTCAATGTGACCAAGCACCATTGGCTAACATGCAAAATTGCCATCCACAGACTTGTGTTATTATATAAAAGTTTGAGGGCAGCCAGTCGTCAAATAGGTGGTACAAGAAACAGACCTACAAAAATAAAGGAGATAATAAAGTAGGTGTTTGTCAGTCTGTTAAACAGTAACAAGAGACTTGCAATGTATTCTGATACACATTGAACTGACATAGTAATCTATGGTGTTCACTGTGCCCTCAAAATCAGTCTGGAAACACTGCCAACAACAGTGCTCTGAAACATACATACAGATTCATTTCATCCAGTGAAAGTGTAACTCCAGTAAACGTAGACAAAGCGTCAAAGTAGACACTTTTTAGTTCTATTTAATAATTCTGGTAATAACTGTATGGGCTTTGCCTTTTACAGCACAGGAAAAAGTGTAAAAGAGGAACAGAAACTCTGCCTCTGCTGCCTCGGGCAACAAAGTCATCAGCATTTCAGAGTGAAACTGTTCAAAGACAGCAGCAGTGAACACTGTAGTTCAAATCAAACTGAACAAAGACTTGAACATGGATCTAAGGCCCAGGATGCTGAGACCTCATCTCATTTTAATGCTTGGTAAATTCAGTTTTCTTCCTTTTTTTCCTAGGAGCAAAATGCTGTGTCTGTAATTTCAGTTATAAAGATCATTCTATCCATTCTTATAGCAAAGAACTTGTTTTGAGAGGGCAGATGCCACTGGAACAGCTGTACCTTCAATCTTTCGATACTAAAACTGGAAAAATATGCTACATGTAAAATGTTTTGACTGTTCAAAAGTTTAAAGTCAATGTTCTCAATCATATAAAATTGACTTGCCTGAAGAAAAATGCAGTTTTTCTAATCTGCTCGTCCTGTGCAACTTCACAAGTTTCAGATCTAGTAGAACATCATAAAGCTGTAAATAAAAAACAAAAAATGTTAGATGTGTTTAGAATGACATAGTATAATTAACATCCAGAATTCATCATATTTCAAAAACTCTCACGGTAGATAACTTGACCAAAAATGAAGTTCCTGCTCCTTGAAATATTGAAAGGTTGAATAAACTATGTTAAATAGTTTTGGTGAATAGTTTATAATATTTAAATCCACATTGTATGAAGTTATTATTCCAATAAAAAATGGTTAATATGGCAAGTGATTCCAAATGTTTGAATGGTTGTCTGCCTACAGTGTATTTTGAATTGAATCATAAATTATTAATAGCATGTTATCTTGTTCTTCTGATATTAGGCCTGGGCGATAGGGTGATGTAATCAGACATCGTCGATGATGGACAAGTAACCTAATTACAATGTGTAAAAGGCGATAATCACTATTTTGGTAAAGACTGAGAATTAGAGAGGACTGATTCACCCTTAAACAGCTTGAAAAAAACAGAGGGAAACTGGGGTTCACACTTCATGCACCAGCAGTCAGTTTCACAGAGAGAGAGAGCGAGAGAGAGAGAGAGAGAGAGAGCGAGAGAGAGAGAGAGAGAGAGAGAGAGAGAGAGAGAGAGAGAGAGGGGTTGCTGTATATGTTGAGTGTTGTGTTATTTCTCTCTGCTACGCACTGAAATCCTCCCCTTCACCACACAAATTCCTCTTAATTTACTTGACATCAATAGAATATAAAATAAATGCTGACGTGCTTTGGAACTTCAGCTCTCTTCAAAGTGACTCGCAGCTGTAAAAAAAACGAGCTGAAATGACTGAAAGTTAGCGTAGACCAGCCAAGTTACCTCTAATCTGAAGAGAAAGTTCCTCTGATCCTCGCCTTCGGCCGGTGTGCAGTATTTTCTGTGCACAGTGTCCTGGTGGTTAGCTGGATTATGAAAACGCTGCTGTAACAAAAGAAAATCACTTGTTTTCAGTGTAGAAATCACTTTGTAAATCACTTGCAGTCTGACGTTCCTCCAGCAGGGAGCTCTAAATCGCCACGAATCTGCAGCAGAAGAAGCTCATGAACACGCGTGTTTACAGCAACATTAATTATAATGACAGGTGACAATACTCAAAAGATGTTGGGTTACTCAGTATGAAAGATTTATTAAAGATTTTCATTAAAACAGTCAATATTTTAAAAACCTCTAGACTAATATAGAAAAGAAAGGGGCAATATTATCAATTAATCATGATTTTTAACTAGAAAATATTGTGCTAATTATTTTTAGATATCGCCCAGGCATAACTGGTACTGTATGTTTTGTATTTGTACAGTAAAACTTCAACCTTAACCTTAACTTAGTTAAGTTTGCCACAAGTTTGGGACTCAAAGTGCATTAAAACAGTGGAAATGTTACATATTTCCTGCACACAATAACTGTCTTGGGTCTAGAACACAATCTTCCCACAAATGAAGACGCTTAGCTAAACTTTTGCATCAGGTGTTTTCAGTTCTCCTTTTTTTTTTAAAAAAAAAATGACTTGATTTCCCTTTTAATCAAGCAGTGCACATATGATGGAAACTAAGACGCTGGCATAGCCGGTTAGTAACTTTCCACTTTATTCTCAGAAAAAATGTGAGTCTTTCAATTGTTGCACAGTGAAGCAGAGCATACGCTATACACTGAGCTGCCAATTTATTAGGTACTTTGTTCTAACACCCATTACATAAACACCTACCAGATCCTCTATCCCATTCATCACTGGTCAGTTTCACACCAAAGGTCTGCTGTTGTCCAGATATTATTTGTGCAACCTGGGGCTTTATTTTTTATTACATTTATTTAAATACTTTATGATGTAGTTTATGTATGTATTTGTTTGTAAAGCCTGCAAGTTTTACTATGTAAGAATTCAGTAAACATACATACTGCTCTTCACAAACTTGGTATGATGAAACATCCTAAGCCAGATCAGCTCACTGGCTGAGTGAAGCAATTCGTGCTCACTGATGTCATTAATGTACATTAGGCGCTGTAGTAAACTAAAAAAAAAAATTTTTTACAGTAGAGTTAAAATGTTTTATGTTGTTCTGAGTTCAAGAAATGAATGCATTCTTTTATATAAAAATTGTTTAAGCATTTACAATCATTTTGCTCAAATGCTTCATTTTAACCTAATCGTTTTGAACTTGCTTGGGAGCGCGCCCTAGCATTTTTTTCTTGACTCCTGACGCTGGACTCCACATAGTTTCAACTAACACAGCGTCAGAGCCAGTGATAAAGGGATACAGCAGAGACTGAACTATTGTAGCTAAACAAATGACGTTACAGCTGATTGTCATTACTGTGGTCATAATTAATTGAAAATGAATCATTAATAATCAGTTAACCAGATTTAAACTAAGGTTTTCATTCAGGAGCAACTGGATGTTATCCTTTGTTCCTATTTTCATTAAGCTAAAGTGGACTTCTAATTAAAATTTTCTATTTCACCTTAAATGATACAGCATCTGCTCCCGAGTGGCGCAACCGTCTAAGCGTTGGCCCTATCATCAGGAGATCGCGAGTTCGATCCCTGGTGATGCTACAGCCATCCGTAGCCGGGAGTCCAAGAGAGCACAATTGGCCTCGCTCTCTCTGGGTGGGTGGGATGGCTGCCTTTCTCCCCCCATCACTCACTAAGCGCGATGCTAGTCAGCGCAGGCGTCTGTTAGCTGATGTAACAGATCTGGCGGTTGGCGCTTTCCTCCGAGCGCGTTCGGCTGTCCAATGACGTTGCGTGAGCGGTGGCTGGTTTCACAGGTCTCGGAGGAAGCCTGTGTTAGCCTTGCCCTCCTAGCGTTGATAGCGTCGTGTGTGATTGGGGGAGTCCTAACTAGCGGGTGGAATTGGAGACGACTAAATTGGGGAGAAAAATCGGGAAATGATACAGCATCTGTGCAGGGGCCAGGGTGTAACTGCAGCACCATTTAAGGTGGAACGGAAAATTAGAACAAAACACGGGAGAGTAAGAAGCCAACTTCAACTTTATCCGTTTTTCCACAACATTCTATAAAAAACATTGTTTTTGTTTCGTTTGCAGCCCTGATCACGAAGAAAATGTAGAGTTAGGGAGCAGAGCGGTTCAGTGTAGAGTCGGATGTTTTGAACATTTTTGTGAGCAGAGTTTGTGCTTCATAAAGCTGTTAATTAATCAAAAGCACGCTACTCAAACTCAGACTATTTCCTGCCTGACACACACCTTTGTCAAAATGTCCCTCCAGTCAATTACAGTGAAAAAAACAGAGTCATCAGTTGACTCCACACATTTGGACTCACAGTCACTGGACAAGAGCCAAACCTAACAAACCCAGGAATGTTGGGGTCAAATACTCGACTCCCCATCACTATCCAGGAATGGCTAACATAGAAAGCTAACAGGCTATCCTAAGTAGTGGAAGCAAGCAAATAACTGAAGAAATTTTAGAGGAATTGTAAGGGAAAATAATGTGAAATAATCAAAACTTGAATAGTGAGTGCAGACAAGTAAAACTGACCCATTTTAGGACCAGTGTTGGGGTAATGTGTTGCAAAGTTATGCATTATAGTAATATGATTACCCTTTTCTGTACGAAGTAATGTAACACATTACATTTACATTACATTTGTGGACAGCACAGCTCATCATGTGACCACGAATGTGAGGAGCACAGCACAAACTCAGTTTGGGAACAATGGTGGAGGACGAGAGTGGATGTTTCCACAAATGGAGATATTTTAATTATTTTGAATTTGTTTCACGGATCTGGACTCCCCGGCAGGTTCAGAAATTTACCTTGCTTGATATCTTCTTTAAAGGCACTGGCAAGTCTCTCAGATGGCGTCACTGAACAATTTACACATAGCAATTGAGAACCAATTGGCCAAGTGTGAGCTGAGTGAACGCTGAATTAGTTCTGATCTGGGGCTTTTCTCAACAATCTCCAAAAACTGTCAGCAAGTGGGAATCAGGGCTAAAATCATGTAGTGTGAACTCATGGTGTGCATGTTTCAGGCAAGGGGCACAAAGCTGTTAGCGTCAGTGGGTCTCAGAGGAGGTGCCTGACGGATACTATGGGTGCTGGTGCTGCAGTTTAAACTTTTAAAGTAAAGGAAAGCACCTTGTTTTAATACACCTGTTTCACAGCTATTTATACTTCTGGGCTTATAAAGTGACACAATAATAAATAAAAGTAAATAATTGGCTTAATCAGCCTTGGAAGTGTTTATCTTTTCTGTATTATCAAATTTATCATATTTAGAGACCAATTATTTTCCACCAGCCTTGGAGGCACCTAAGTAAGTAAGTACTGATATAGAAACAAAGTCTAGTGCCTGTTAGGCATCTAACTGTACATAACCCTACAGCAGCTTCAGTAAGAAATAACCATAAAGCCGTCCTTCTAATCTGACTATTTTTTGTCACATGCTTTGTAATCAGAAGAAAAGCTTGCACACTTTTGTTTCAAGCACTTCATACCAGAACATTCTGACCTGACTAAAGAAACACCAGTATTTTGTTCAGATGAAAGATTTCAACCAAATTTAAACCTTTTTTAAACATGCACATCCAGAAATTGGTCAACACAGAAAAGGTCTGGCTAACATTTTGTTTGTATTTGTACAACTGCAGTATTTTATGTAGTTTGTGCTTAATTAATTTTTTTTTTGTTACAAAAAAAACAAAACA